AAGCATATAGAAGGAGCCAAAGAAGAAGATTATAGCAAGAAAAATAGGTTTTATTGAGACATGGATTACCTCTTAGCCTTAATTAGATTCCTTGGCTATTAAGGCTCTTCTATAAGATTTCCTCTTCTTGATTTCTCCTACGGGGAATTCTTGGGAGTTCTTGTGTGGTGGTATCTATTATGGTGTCAATTCTAGGTGCCTCATATGTCCCTATTTATATATCTAAGAGTCCTAATTAGGGTCTGAATGGTATGGGCTTGTTAATTCTATTTCTTATAGGACTAAGGGGTTGGTTTTAGGGATAAGGGTCCATGGACTATGGTGGACCCTTCTTAGTTAATTAATGGGCTTTGATTCTCTTTGTAACACCCCCCTAAAACACATGCTATAAAAAGCCTTAACACATGCAGATAACACAACTAAACAACTAGCACAGCGGAAGACTAAAAGATAACTGGATAAACATAAATCCAAGTCATGGGGTGTTATGCCACGTTCACCAACAAGAATGAACGCTACGGCAACATCTGCATTGTTTGCACTATCCAAAGTCTCAAAAGTCTACAACTAGATTGGCACACAGGCCATAAAACAAACGGGAGAAGCTAAGCTATCAGGCACTAGACTGCGCACTCGCCTAGACATCACCTGAAAGAACACAATAAAACATGGGACGACGCCCGGTCAGCGAATAATGCTGGTAACCCACCAATACTTGTGAAATAACATACATAAGTAAGCTATAAGTTGTAAAGCCATTTTCGAAACGGAATACATATATATAAGTGTAAAACCAAGAGTAATAGCCAACACAAGACTCAACACTCTCACCAATAACACGAAAACACATCCCAAGACCACAAAGGACAACAACTCAAGGATAAAGACAAGACCGATGGCAATACATGCCTAGGCAACACATGCCTTTGTGACTACACACGTCACAAGAAGAGAACACACAACCACGGCTACACAAGCTCTCGTGACATCACTCATCACGAGTTGATATGCCTTCCTTATGCCTTGTTCCAACCTTATGGCTACCCCCAACCTTATATCTAGTTCCAACCTTTACCTCCAGGACCCCTGTACACCAAGTCCAACCTTATTCCCCCGGGAACCGTCGTTCCCCCTCCAACAGTCCCTCCAACAAAACCACCGATTTCATAGTACACGAGGGTACCGTACACACACATGGCAACACATGCCCTGGATAACACATGTTATCCCAGTAATAATCATGTGAACCTTACACAAAGGTCACAACTCCATAATCACGTCACAGCCACCACGAGGACCGCTGCCGTACCTTGGTGATTAAGGCCCCATAAACCGAAATCGTGCAATCCAGGTACACCCATACACACATCACACCTCAACAGGAATCAATCAACAGATCACAACGAAGGTATGAAACATACTCAATCAAGGAATGGGTCATAGCCCAACAACAACAACAATGAATAACACAAGTTATCATCAACCAAACGGAAGGTACAAACAACACACACGCTAGCATTTAAACACCAAACTAGCATGCTTATCAAACGGGGAAACCAAACATAGTTCCGAGGAACACACAAGACTCACCACGGTTCAACGAAACACAATGTTGAACACTTAGCACGATTCAAGACACCAAATCCTACATGTAATCCTACCATACAGTTCTAGACATACAAAACATCAAGAAGACACTCAAATAGTTCCACAAAAGAACATCGGGAAGTCAAAAGACCAAATACCGAGTCAAAAGAATCGCGGGGAACAAATCCCCAACATCACCATATCAAGTACCCGCGGGTAGGCCCACGGGTAGGCCTCTACCCGCGGTTCCACCCGCGGGTACAGGCCGCCCAAGAAGTGTACCCCGCGGGTGGGTGGCGGGTTGGACCCCTACCCGCCGTTCCGCCCGCGGGTACAACCCTGTACCACAACAAAGCACTTCGCGAATTTCATCTCCAAACTCAAATTCAAGTCCAAAACATGTCAAATCTCACCCAATACAACAAAATGACTTGAATCATAGGAAATGCCAAGCAATGGCACAAAAGAACCCTAAGCACAAGCTCTAGATATGCATTTTCACAAGACAATGCATAAACACTCACATTTCATAGCAAAAACACAAGTAGAATCCAAGAAATCACATATAGGTAAGCAAAATAGATTTTGTAGAGCATGGGTTACCTCTTGTAGACTAAAGACTTCACTTTACACCTTAACAAGCTCTTCTCAAGGCTCACCTTCCAAACCCACTTCAAGATCAAACCAAAAGATCATAAAGATCCTACCTTTAAGAAAAAACACCTAAGATGAAACCAAAAACACAAGATGAACTTAGATCTTACCCTCCTAGATGCCCAAATATATGAAAGTTTGAATCTTGGAAGCAACTCTTGAGGTCTTGGCAAGGCTCCAACTTGGCTTGGAAGAAAAGCTACTCACCTTTTTAGAGAGAAGGTGGAGCTAGATTTTTAGAAAGTGTAAGGGATAGAATGAAGATGGTCTACTAGGTTAGGTTACAATACTAACACCATGTGAAAGGTCAAGAATGCCCTTACTAACATTAGGAAGTGTAAGGAACAAGGGAACTCCCTTCAAAGCTCAAGGTACAACTTTGACTTTAGGGTTGACTAGTCAATTACTAATCCCCAAGTATTGAATTTCAGGATTTTAAGAATTAATTCACCAATTGAAATAGGATTAATTACTCAAGTAATCCATTGATTGAATTTGGATTTTGGGGTGTCACACTCTTTTTAGAGTAAATAATTAAATAATTAGTTTGGCTTAGGGGTCGTATCACGGGGTGTTACACTTTAGGTTGGACCAAGAATAAACATAAGGTTTATTCATAAAGGACCTGAGTTGGGAATCAAAATGCATGTGATGCATAGATGGTATTACTCACACTTTCATTTAGAGGACATACCACTATGATTCATGTTTTTTTTATTATCTTTGATAAAGGTTGTGTCAATACTTGCACCAATGGAAAATTGTAACATTTTCTATTAATGTTGTACAAATCAAGTGGGGTAAGTTTATTAGGCCAAATTTAGCCATTGCGGCAATGATTAGTTTTTGATAACTAATTATAATCAAGAATGAACATGAGATTTATTCATTAAGTTTTATACCACATAAGGTACTTAGAGAAGAAGTTACATTGTAATCATAAGTGGATACTACTCTGATGAAGATCAGAGGAACTATCTCTATGGTTCATGTTTTTTGCATCTTTGAGTTAATACTTACACCAAGTGGGAGAATGTAACATTTTCCATTATAATGACACTATTAAGTGGTGCAAGTTAATAGGCCATTTATGACCATTATGTTGTGATTTGAAACGGAAGTAACGATTTCCATTACTTAACCTATAATGACGGCACATAGGTTATATATATGTATGGTTCTCCCACTGCTCATGTGCTTTTTTTATACAACACCATCTACTTGAACATGAGATCAAGTATTAGACAAAACACCAAAGTTCCTTATAATTCTTGAAGAAATGCTATAGAGATGACAACTATGGCTGGAGGTGCTCGATCTTATTGATTTCCGCTATGAGGTTAGATCATTACATGTAGTATGATTGTATATTTATTTCTAACAACAATCAGAATATTATGAGAGATTGGTTGATTAAGGTGGTTCATATCTACAAAGAGCAAAATAGAGTAAAAAATGTATTATCTAAGGACCATTTCTCCCATAGCAGGGTATGGTGGTCTACAATAATAACCCAAAGCTCACCATAACGACATTTATGGGGTTGTTAGGGTCCAATCCGAAGATTTCCAAAATACTTTGAGTCATGATTTTGTAACGTTTCTCTCTCGTTTTCGACCAAAAAAAAAAAAAAAAAAAAAAAAAAAAAAACACACACACACACATACGTTAACATTTTGATTTTGATATCGTATGTACTAGAAAAATATGTAGCATATATAGTTAATTTACTACATATAAACTAAATAGTTATCATTAATTTAATATCGGTGGTATATACTTAAATTGTTTGTATGTTATTTTAAAGTTGTTACTAAAATCAACACTACCAAGTGTAGATAGTTCAATTGGGAGAGTGTTATACTAAAAATCTAAAGGTCATGTGTTCAATCTTCATTCACCTCATATGGAAAATGAGGTTGTTCTTTTGGTTTTTTTTTTTTCCTTTAACTTTGCAAGCAATATCGTTTGCAAGCTTTCTAAATTAGATTACTTTCAAAAAAAAATCCTTTCGTGTAACTTTTTATTTGTTTATTTTTATTTTTTATTACTTATTTTATTTTATTTTTGTTATTATATTTATAATATAATATAAAAATAAGATCACTTTTGATTGTGAGAAAATATTGCAGGGTTGTAGAGAAAATAGTTGAGAAATTATAAATTTGATTATGTGGAAATGAGACCCATTTTAGAAAGTGAGAAAGTATTATAGAGATAAGGATGTTAAGGATATCTGTAGCTGACATATTTTGTATATAATTAAATCTAGTTGCATTTCTTTTATGTAGCATTGTTAGACTGGTTGTTACAACAACCTGCTAACTACTCACTATCTTCTCTCCCTTGTATGCTATTTAAAGCTTATTGTTTACATCAATAACATCAGTTGAGTTCATAATCTATTATGGTATCAAGAGCCTAATTTCTCCTACGAAGTTTTTTTTTTTTCCTTCCTCTTCCAAATGGCTTTCGCTACTACAACCACAATAATCCAATTAAATGCCCCAACACACTTCCCAATTAAACTCACAACCATGAATTTTCCGGTGTGACGGCATCAAATTCATGCCACACTTGTTGGGTTTAATCTCTTTGGCTATGTTGATGGTACAACCAAGGAACCAACTAAATTCACTGATCCTGCTCAAACTTCTGTCAACCCGGCTCATTTAGCTTGGTATCGTCAAGACCAAGTTATTGTCAGTGCTCTACTTGGGAGCTGTACTGACACCATACAGCCCCTTATCTCCTCGGCTATGACAGCCCATGATGCGTGGCAACGTCTCATTGCTAGTTACGCCAGTGCCTCACGAGGACGTATCATATCCCTCAAGGCCAAACTCACAAGGAATCCGCGAGGGTCTCGGTCTATCACCACTTATCTCAATGACATGCGAGCCATAGCTGATGATTTAGCGTTGGCTCAGTGTCCCGTATCTGACAAAGATCTACTCGTCTATGTATTGACTCAGCTAGGCGAGGATTACAGCTCCATCACATCGGCCATCCGCGTTCGTGAGAAGCCTCTTTCTTTTGGCGAGTTGGCGGCTGTGCTGACTGACCATGAAGGCCAATTGACAGATGCAGATGCTTTGCGTCAGTCCTTTTTTACTACTACTAATGTTACTCAACGCACCTCGTCACCCTCACGGCGCAACCACCAGTCCAACACCAACCGGAGGGCCCGCAACAATAACAATCATTATGGCTCTAATCGGCAACAAGGGGAACACAATCGCTCAGGTATCGTCTGTAAGTTTTGTTATCTTACGGGTCATGAAACAAGAGTGTGTTGCAAGCTAGCCCGATTTTTGAAGGAGCATGATGTTCCTCCTGTTCAATCCTATGTATCTCCTACAACCAATTCGATGACTGGGGATTCTCCTCCCTGGATGTTTGATAGTGGGGTGTTGCACCATGTGACACCAAGCCTCGCTCCTCTGCAGACTTTCACCGAGTATAGTGGATCGGATGAAATACGCCTGGGTGACGGTAATTCCTTACAAATATCCCATATTGGCCAGTCTGTCATTCCTACTATTTCTATTGTTCTCACTCTAGATAATGTCTTGCGTGTCCCACAGTTACACACTAATTTAGTTTCTGTTTCCCAGTTATGCAAGACTAATCGTGTGTCTGTTGAATTCTTTGATTCTCATTTTCTGGTCAAGGAACTTCGAACGGGGATTCCACTGCTACGGGGGGGGGGGGGGGGGGCGAACATTAATGGTGTCTATTTTGGACCAGTTGCCTCTCACCCAACAGTTCATGCTACACAGTTGGCTTGTTTGTCTCAGTGGCACCAACAACTTGGCCACCCGTCGAATAAGGTGTTGCAACTTGTGTTGTAACGCTGTAATGTTCCAGTCTCTATGTCATCTCTGCGAAAATTTTACTGTTCCTCATGCAATGTTCATAAAAGCCATAAACTGCCTTTCTCTAAAAATACACTTGTTAGCACTAAACCTTTGCAACTTGTTTATACTGATGTGTGGGGACCTACTGAGAACTCTATTGATGAATTTCGCTATTATGTCATTTTTGTAGACCACTTCTCGAAATACATTTGGTTGTACCCATGAAACGTAAATCGGATGTGTTTGCAATATTCATCAGTTCAAACAACTAGTGGAAAAATATTTTAGCCTGTCAATTATTTCTGTTTACTTAGATAATGGGGGCGAGTTCATGAGACTTGGACCGTTTTTTAATACTCACGGTATCTCTCATTTCACCACCCCTCCACACACTCCTGAGCACAATGGTGTCGCAGAGCGACGACACAGGCATGTCGTGGAAACTGGTATGTCTCTTCTTCACTCCGCGTCTTTGCCGTCCTCGTACTGGACCTATGCCTTTCAGAAAGCCGTATATCTTATTAATCGGCTCCCTACTCCAATTTTAGGTAATCAATCCCCATTTTCTGTCTTGTTTCAACAATTGCCTAATTATGCCAAGTTACAACCCTTTGGTTGCCTGTGCTTTCCCTGGTTGCGTCCCTATAACACCAAGAAGCTACAACCAAAGTCACGTCCGTGTATTTTCCTTGGCTACTCGAACACCCAATCCGGTTATAAATGTCTAGATTTTGGTTCGAATCGTATTTATGTATCTAGGCATGTTAGATTTATGCCTCATGTGTTTCCTTATAACGATTTGCAAACGGCATCTAACAGCTTACCTTTTGCTTCTAATGATTCAGAATCATGCCATATTTTGTGCAAGTCGTCTCCTTTGTCTACATAGGTACAGCCCATAGGTGTTCCAACTCCAGTTCCGAGTCCAGTTCCAACACCAGTTCCAACTCCAGTTCCGAGTTGAGTTCCAACACCAGTTCCAACTCCAGTTCCGAGTCCATTTCCAACACCAGTTCCAACTCCAGTTCTGAGTCCAGTTCCAACTCCAGTTCCGACACCAGTTCCAACACCATCACTGTCGGATGCGTCCAATTCATCGTCTCCCACTGTCTTAGAAAATGGCCAACATGCATCACAATCTGTGTCTGACTCCCAACCTGTCTGCACCTCCGAAACGTCTCAACCGTTGACTAATGTTCGTCGTTCCACCCGGGAGCGTCGTCCTAGTCCAAGGTATTCCGATTATGTCGCCCAGGCTCTTAAAAACGCTCGGTGGAGGAAAGCAATGGATGAGGAGTTCGAAGTGCTACAATGTAACAACACGTGGCAACTGGTTCCCCGCGGAGCGGCTGTTCCGATTGGCTGCAAATGGGTCTTTCGTGTTAAAGCGCGGCTTGTCGCTAAGGGATTCTTGCAGACTGCTAGCCGGGACTATTTTGAGACATATAGTCCGGTTATGAAACCTGTCACGGTCCGTATCGTTCTGACCATTGCTTTGAGTAATGGCTGGGGTCTGCGCCAGCTCGATATCAATAATGCGTTCCTTAATGGAACATTGCATGAGGAGGTTTTTATGGAGCAGCCTCCCGGGTTTGTTGATCTGTCCTTTCCAGCTCATGTATGCAAACTGACCAAAGCCTTATATGGTCTTAAACAGGCTCCCAGGGCTTGGTACTTGGAGCTTTCCCAGTTGTTGTTACGTTGTGGGTTTTTGAAGTCACAGGCAGATGCGTCGTTGTTTGTTTATTCTTCTAATGATATTATTGTTTATTTCCTGGTGTATGTCGATGATATTATACTAACAGGAAACAATGTTGCATGGCTTGATCAATTTGTTGAAACTCTGGCAGCTCGCTTTGCCCTTAAGGACCTTGGTCCCTTGCATCACTTTCTAGGTGTTGAGGTTGTTTCAACACCCACTGGCATGTTCCTGTCTCAGAGTCAATATATCACAGACATACTGGTTCGTTTTGAGATGGATGGTGCAAAAGCTGTTTCAACACCACTTGCAACATCAGATAAGTTACTCCCTGCGCAATCCGGTACTGCTACGGTGGATGTAACTCAGTATCGGAGTCTTCTTGGCTTGTTGCAGTACCTGGTCATCACTAGACCTAATGTGTCCTATGCAGTTAATCGGCTCTCAGAGTTCATGCATATGCCTACGGAGGTGCACTGGCAAGCTGCAAAACGGTTGTTACGCTACCTGAAGGGTACGGTGTAGCATGGGTTGTACCTTCGTGCCGGGTAGCCTCTCTCACTAAGTATGTATACGGATGCCGATTGGGATGGCTGCACTGCCAGTGGGCGGTCCACTACCGCTTATCTATTGTATCTTGGGACCAATCTCGTCTCTTAGAAATCCACTCGTCAAAAATCAGTTTCGCGCTCATCTATAGAAGCCGAATATTGAGCCTTGGCGAATGCTGCTACAGAAGTTTTGTGGGTTAAGAATCTGTTGCATGAGCTTCGACTGCAGCTATTGGGGCCTCCGGTTCTACTATGTGACAACCTCAGCGCTACGTATGTGTGTAAGAACCCAGTGTTCCATTCACGCATGAAGCACCTCGCGCTCGACTCTTTCTTTTTTCGGGACTTTGTTGCTAATGGTTCGTTGGTGGTTCGGCATATTTCTTCGTCTGCTCAGCTTGCTGATTTTCTTACAAAGTCGTTGGGCCGTTTGTTGTTTCTTCGGTTCCGTTCCAAGATTGGAGTTTCTGATGGCTCCTCCATCTTGCGGGGGCGTGTTAAGGATATTTGTGGCTGACATATTTTGTATATAATTAAATCTAGTTGCATTCCTTTTATGTAGCATTGTTAGACTGGTTGTTACAACAACCTGCTAACTACTCTTTATCTTCTCTCTCTTGTATGTTATTTAAAGCTTATTGTTTACATCAATAACATCAGTTGAGTTCATAATCTATTAAAGGATAGTCTAAAGATTGCATACATAGTTATATATTATATACTATGTGGTGAGATTATGGTGCTCGAGTAACACAATTGTTATACCCTGCACCACGACGCATGTAGCACTGTGCGTCCCGCGCTTCTTAAAATGACGTCGTTTTGGGTGGTGCGGTAGGGAGTTGACGTGATTATGTGTATTTGTTTATACAATTATGTGTATTTATTTATAAAATCATGTATATTTTTTTATACAGTTATGTGTGTTTGTTTATACAATTATGTGTATTTGTTTATACAATTATGTCTATTTTTTTATACAGTTATGTGAAACGACGTCGTTTTGCATCAGGGCGCACAATACAATGCGTGCCCTGGTGCACGATATAAATTGCCCGAGTCAATCGTTATACCCTGCACCACGGCGCACGCAGCACTGTGCGCCCCGCGCCTCCCAAAACGACGTCGTTTTGGGAGGCGCGGAAAGGAGTTGACGTGATTATGTGTATTTGTTTATACAATTATGTGTATTTTTTATACAGTTATGTGTATTTATTTATACAATTATGTATATTTTTTTATACAATTATGTAAAACGACGTCGTTTTGCATTAGGGCGTACAATGCAATGCGCGCCCTGGTGCACGATATAAATTGCCCCAACATAGAATAACAATAACCTAATTGCCCAACATCATCAATCTACTAGTCTCGTATTTGGAAAATTATGCCTTGGACCCGTGTCCATAATTCATTGTGGACACGGGCCCAAAACGACGTCGTTTTTCAAAAAAAACACGTCATTTAGTTAAAAAAAAATAAATAAATAAAATCACGCGTGTTTTGCCGTTAACGGCGTTATTTTTTTTTTTTGGATTATGAATGTACAGTTATGCCGTTATGAATGTACAATTATCCCGTTATGAATGTACAGTTATGCAATTATGAAATTATGAACACAGAGCTCTAACATTATGAACTTACAATTATGAACATATAGTGATAAAATTATGACCATGGAGCTTTAAAATTGTGAATATAGAGCTTCGAAGATTATGAATGTACAGTTATGGAGTTATGAATGTACAGTTATGGAGTTATGAATCTACAGTTATGGAGTTATGAATCTACAGTTATGAGATTATAAATCTACAGTTATGGAATTATGAATGTACAGTTATTGATCGAATTATGAACAAAGAGCTCTAATATTATGAACTTACAATTATGAACATATAGTGATAAAATTATGAACATAGAGCTTCGAAAATTATGAATGTACAATTATGGAGTTATGAAGGCACAGTTATGGAGTTATGAATGTACAGTTATGGAGTTATGAATGTACAGTTATAGAGTTATGAATGTACAGTTATGGAGTTGTGAATGTACAGTTATTAACATATAGTAATAAAATTATGAACATATACTCCTATAACGAAGCGGTCTGAAATTAAAAAAAAAAAAAAAAAAAAAAAAAAAAAAAAAAAAAAAAAAAAAAAAAAAAAAGAGATAACAGTGCCTAACGGCACTGTTACCCGTGTCCAGCATGCATGCTGGACACGTGTCCATAGCATAACGATTGCTCGTATTTTGGGTGGGCTAACCCCTTGGTAACTTGACCCGTCAAATTGATGTCTCATCCTTGGAACTTTTTGATAAGTAGTATTTAGCATTGATTTTGCATCTTAAATTGCATCTATTCTTTGGATGCTTTATTATTAATTAGTGTCGTATATACCATAAAAATATGTAGCATCTACTATGAGTTAATGTTTTTTTTAGTGACGAAGAAAATCTATAACCACTATCTTAGAGTGTGCACTGGGTAAATTAAATCTTACATTGTGACTCTAACAGTCTAGCCGATAAAGGATCACATAGCGGTAGACCAGCTTAGGTTACCCATACCTGACTGACTCAAACCAATTGGCCGCTAATGTTAGGAGTCAAACTTAGAACATTATAATTAACAAATCAACAATTTGACAAGTTTTATGGGGGTGTGCTTATAATTAAATTATTACATATAAGTTAAATAGTTAAAATATAAATTTCTATAATATATTTTTGCAATTCTTAAAGCTAATTGAACCAATAGGTGGGCATAGCTTAGTTGTGAGAGCGTTAGATTGAAGATTTGAAGGTCACGTGTTCGATCCACGTTTACCGCATGTTTTAACTTGACGTCATCGTCGAAGTTCCCATACGCAGACATTTTGGGTTATTGGCTTTATTAATAACAACGTTGTTACTGTCGAATGTTTTTTTGTAAACAATATATTTTATAATTACTGCAATTAATTCATCCTTTTATCATTGTTATTAAATTTATAAACTTAACTACGCCAAACTTCAACTGCCCTAGGTTAACCAACAATATTATCTGATGGATTTAATTAATCCGGGGTGGCCCGAATCACTAAATCTGGATAAGAACACGAATAATAAATAATAAGTAGATAACAAACGACGTAATTAAATTTTTTCTACCTAGGGTTTCTCTAGGTTTTCCGGTCGTTTTTTCGACGTCTTTCTACGGAGGAATTCCGACGAACGGGAACAAGCGTGATCTGCTCCTTGCATGCGTGATGGCTTCGACGCCGGATGAGGCAGACGTGGCAGGTCTGACGGCCAGGTGGGCCGATATTGTGCTGGAGGAAGAGGCGACGGCGTTTATGCCGGACGAGGGGGCTGGTGCCGAGGAGGGGGGCGGCGTGGTGGAGGAGTGTTGGGGGGTGGTGGGAAGGTTCTTGACACGGAAGCTAGTCAGGTTGGAATTTATGAGTCAGGTCTTAGCATCGGTGTGGCAACCGGTGAGCGGGATTGAGGCAACGGAGGTTGAGCCTGGTCGGTTTCTGTTTGTCTTTCATCATGTAACGGATATGGAACGAGTTCTGAACGAGGGTCCCTGGTCTTTTGATAATAGTACGCTGGTGTGTAAACAGGTCCCTGACGGAGTTATGCCAGTTGATGTTGTGCTGGATACGGTGGATTTATGGGTCCAATTGCATGGTCTGCCGAATGGATACTCGTCTAGTCGGATTTTGGAACAGATTGGAAATTTCTTGGGTACGTTTGTGAAGTATGATGATCGTTTCGACAATGCCCCGTGGAAGATGTATCATCGTATTAAGGTTTCGTTGCCTGTTGATAAGCCCTTGAAAAGACGAATGAATTTTATTAAGCGAGATAAGACGAGTTGCTGGGTCATGTTCAAGTACGAACGACTTCATACTTATTGCTATTTCTGCGAGATGCTAGGGCACTCGTATCAGTTTTGTCGTGGGGCAAGGGACTCGAAGATGCCGGTGGAGGAGTATTTGTATGCCCCGGAGCTACGGGCAGGAGGGAGCCGTGGCCCTAGGCCGGTGGGGGGCAGCTGGCTTTTGCCGAGGGGCCGGCAGGCCGTGGGGCGGAAACCGCAAGCTGATCGGGCGGTTGTGGGGCGGACTCCGGAAGGTGAGAACCGGACCGAGGGGGTGGTTTAGGCGGAGGTGGTGGCGGTTGCCAAGCGGCGCCGGGGGGAGGTGGATGGTGAGGTACGGAGGTACGAAGGAGGGGATCTTGTCATGGCCGAAAATCCAAAAAACTTGCAGCTGGCGGGTTCTGGTTCCCAGACCCGCCCGAATCAATGAGTACTCTAAGTTGGAACTGCCGTGGCTTGGGTAATCCACGGACAATTCGGGAGATTGTGGACATGGTGTCCCGGAAGCAACTCGACTTTGTATTTCTAATGGAGACTAAAGTGGCACGTGATCATGCAGAACGATTACGTGTTAAGATTGGTTATGAAGGACTGTTTTATGTTGATAATGATGGGTTAAGTGGTGGTATAGCGTTACTGTGGAGAAAGAATAGTACGGCCCGGCTAATCAGTTACTCAACGAACTATGTTGATGTTGGGGTAACTATTGCTGGCTTTCATGAATGGCGAATGACGGGGTATTATGGATTTTCTGAACGAACAAGACGCGCTGAGTCATGGGATTTTTTGAGAACACTATCGGGCAGGTCGAATCTCCCATGGGTTGTTATTGGAGATTTCAATGATTTATTATATCAGAATGAGAAGAGAGGGGGAAATCTGCATCCGAATAGCCTCCTACGCGGTTTTGGGGAAGCTATTGAGGACTGTGGGCTTTCTCAATTGCCTATGGTTGGTTATCCGTACACATGGGAGAAGGGGAAGGGGACAGTAAACTGGATGGAGGAGAGGCTCGATAAAGTTCTAGTGACGGATGAGTGGCGGGGTATGGTGATGGGGGCTAAGGTGTTGAATCTGAGAACCCGGAAGTCTGATCATTCGGCTCTCTTTCTGGGGATTCAAGACTCCGCTGGGGGTGTTGGGCCTCGTAGGAGGGGTTTTCAATTTGAGATGGCCTAGCTGCATGATGAGGGATGCAGGAATGTGGTAGAGCAGTCCTGGCAGGAGAGGAGGGGCCAGGGTTTACAGAACTGTATTCAGTACTGTGGGACCCGGTTAACACGATGGGGTGGAGACCGGTATCATAAGTACGGAAAACGGATCAATGAACTGACAAGAGAGCAGCAGCGACTGAGGGGGCGTACTGACCCGGCCTCCCTTGCTGAGTTCCAACGCCTAGAACAGCTGTTAAGCTGTACTGAAGCTCAGGAGGATGCCTACTGGAGGCAGAGAGCCAAGCAACACTGGCTTAAGGAGGCAGATGCTAATACGAAGTTTTTTCACAGGTATGCCTCTCACCGAAAAAAGAAGAATACTATTTCTAGATTGATGAATGATAATGGGGATTGGGTTGAGGGGGAGCCTATGAAAAATATTATCTTGCAGTATTATAATCGTATTTTCTGTGCTGGGACCCCGGGAACTAGAGAGGATTTTTTTGAGGGAATTGTCCCGCGAGTCACGCAGGCACAAAATGAGTTTTTGTTGCGTCCTTTTGAGTTGGATGAGGTTAAGTGTGCACTGTTTGCGATGTTCCCGGACAAGGCACCAGGCCCGGATGGAATGAATCCAGGCTTTTACCAACATTTTTGGGATGTGGTTGGGGGTGATGTGGCGAGCTTTATAATAAATTGTGTTGACTCCTGTGATTTCCCGCCTGGGTTGACTGAGACTGATATTTTTTTAATTCCTAAGAAGAAAACCCCTGAGTATATCACTGATTTGCGGCCTATAGCCCTCAGTAATGTGGTCTATAGAATTATGGCAAAAATGTTGGCTAACAGAATGAAACCGTTAATGGAAGGAGTAATATCTGAGTCACAAAGCGCATTTATCCCGGATAGACTGATAACGGATAATATACTATTAGCTGCAGAGGTGGGGCATTTTTTGAATAGGAAACAATGTGGAGTGGGGGGATGGAGTGCTCTTAAATTAGACATGGTGAAGGCATATGATCGGGTCGAATGGCCCTTCTTACGAAGGATGATGTTGGCGCTGGGATTTCATGCTGGTTGGGTGGAGTTGATTATGAAGTGTGTAACCTCTGTCTCATATAATATTTAGGTGAATGGTTTAAGATGTGATCCTATTATACCTACTCATGGAATAAGGCAAGGGGATCCTCTGTCCCCATATCTATTTATTATTTGTGCAGAGGGTCTATCTTTGATGTTGCAGCAGGCACATAATGTGGGATCGATACATGGCTGCACGGTAGCAAGAGGAGCCCCCCCCCCCCCCCCCCGATTTCTCACTTATTTTTTGCAGATGATAGTCTACTGTTTTTTAAGGCCAAGGCGGAGGAAACAATTGAGGTTAAAAGGTGTCTATCTATTTATGAGAATTTATCCGGGCAGGCAGTAAATTATCATAAGTCGAATATATGTTATAACAGAAATACCAGTAACGAGGATAGACAGAGTGTGGCTCAGATTTTGGGAGTGGCACAGGCACCGAATTTTGGCAAGTATTTGGGACTCCCCTCTTTTATTGGAAGACACAAGAAAGCAGTTTTTGCGTATGTGGAGGATAAAATCCGTCAAAGGATTGGATCATGGAATAAAAAACTGCTATCACAGGCAGGGAAAGAAATTCTTTTGAAAACTGTAGCACAATCTATGCCTACGTTTTCAATGAGCGTTTTTTTGTTACCTATATCAGTGTGTACGGCGATAGAAAGGACAATGAATCATTACTGGTGGGATTCTGGAACTGACAGGCGAATACATTGGAAGGCATGGGACAAGTTATGTATCCCAAAGAAATACGGTGGGCTGGGATTTAAAGATTTGCGTGCATTTAATCTAGCAATGCTAGGAAAGCAGGCGTGGCGAATGTTGACTAAGCCTGACTCTCTGGTGGCACGTGTGTATAAGGCCCGGTATTTTCCGAAAGGATCGTTCTTTGATGCACAAGTGGGAAATAATCCCAGTTTCTGCTCGCGGAGCATTATGGCATCAAAGAGTATTATTTGTGGTGGGGTCAGGCGCAGAATAGGTAATGGGGAGTCTACATTCATATGGACCCACCCTTGGCTACGAAATGACCATGACCCAATGATACAAACAGAAATGCCAGTATAGTTGCAAGGAGCCAAGGTGGCAGGTTTGATAGACCAGCAAACTGGTGTTTGGGATCCCTCGATCTTAACTGACTTATTTCAACCCAATGATGTGGCGGAAATTATGAAAATACCCATCTCCCCGGAGTATAATGATACCTGGTACTGGTATGGGGATCCAAGAGGAGAGTACTCTGTTAAAAGTGGATATAAGCAAGTAATGGGAAATTATCAACAGACTAATGGGGTATTTACAAAATGGTTATCCCTGTGGAAGTTAAAAATTCCCCCAAAATGGAGAATGTTTCTATGGAGAGCCATTAGTGATATATTGCCTACTACTACAAACTTGCTGATAAAGAGGGTGGATGTGGATCCACGATGTGCCATGTGTGGATTATCTCAAGAAGACACAATGCATGCTATGGTGTTGTGTGATTTTGCAAGGAACATTTGGGATAAATCTAACCTCACAATTCCGAATATAATCACAAATATTCTTTATGTTTGGTTTGATGAACTTTTAAATGTTCTAGACTCTGATGGGATACTCTATGCAGCAGCAATACTTTACAATATTTGGAGAGCAAGGAACAGGGCTGTTTGGGAAGCAACACTACCACGGCCGGAGGTGGTGCTCAAGACCGCCGCTGCTGCCATGCACGCGTGGACACGGGCGCACCCGCAGCCCACGGCCCGAGCCACCACGCTGCTGCCTATGCCGAACCCGCTGCAAGGAAGCGGCGAACTCCATGCGCCGAATCTGCTCACTGCCGAGCCGCCTGGACCGCAAAGGCGAATATGCCGTGTGGATGGGGGGTATATGCAACAGACAGGACAAGCTGCTATGGGGGTAGTCTTACTAGACACGGACGGGGGATATGTCTCGGCGTACAGTGGACCACTACAAGGATGCTCCTCGCCACTTATGGCTGAGGCACTCACATGTAAAGAAGCTCTATCATGGTTGAAGGATCGGGGAGAGCAGAATGTTGACGTTTATACGGACTGCCTGACACTACATCGTTATCTTACTGCACCAACTGTTGTGTTGCGCACATATCTAGGCTATGCCATTGACACTTGCAGGCTTATTGCATCTTCGTTTCAGTCTTGTTCGTTTCATTTTATTCCTAGATTAGAGAACCATCTAGCTCATGCTTTAGCTACTACGGCTTATCAGCAAACTACAGCTATGTATTGGGATCTACTACCACCGGATGTTATTTCGGCCTACTTTTAATGAAGCATCATATAATTTTCAAAAAAAAAAAAAAAAAAAAAGATAACAAACGACGTCGTAAAGGCCGTGAGACCGTAGATTATATTAAATGCCGTAAAATTGGTTGTTACAATAGTATTTTAGGACAAAGTATGCAAGAACAGTAGATCGTGTCTTAACGAGGCAAGGTGGGGGGCTTTTATACAACCCCCACCCCTAACCGCCACCCCCTAAGGCGGGGGGTGGTTAGATCCGGGTTGACCGCGCCCGATCTCGCGACCGGGCCGCACTGTGGGGCCAGGCCGAGCCCATCATGGGCTTGGGCCGAGCCCATGTGGAGGTCGGCCCGGCCTCTTGGAGAGGTCGGCCCGGCCTCCAACGTGGCCCGTGCGGGGGCCACGTGGCGAGGCCTCGGCCGGGGCGGGTACGTGGCGCCGCCCCGGGACCCGTTCTTGCTTCGCGCCCTCGGGTCGATTCCTAATATATCCGTCATCAGTCCCCCACTCTCCGAGCTGCGAGTAATCGTCAGTGAAGGAGAGTAGATGCTCCGGCCGACCTCCCAAAATGCCGACCCCGAGACGTCCGCGTCCCAGCGTTATAGGTGCCGTCCGAGTGCACTTCTCCCGATAATGATGAAAAACTCCATCCGGAACATGACTCCTTCATCTGCTAGGACACATACACAGTAGAGTCCTCTTAGGTTTTGATCATCTTCTCCAAGTCAACCAATCATATCCATCTTTTCACCTTCCCCCCCTTTTTTGCATTTTGAATTTCAAACTCCCCCTCTTCCTATCTCCCCCTCTTCTATATAAACCCCCTCTCCCCTTTCATTCTACACTTTCCACCACTCCAACATCACACTCCTCCCCCAAACTCCGGCGCGACCCAACTCCGGCCGACCCCGCAGCTGCTCCCGTCGCCGAGCCGTAAGCCCGAGCGTGGTACACCCCTCCTTCTCTTTGCTCGTTTCTTTATGTTTTTTTTTTCTTGGACTCGGCCACGCCACCTGCCACGGCGTGGGTGCGCCGGCGTCGCTGGGATGCCGCCGTCCGTCACGGCGCTGGTGCGTCGGCGTCGTCGCGACGCTGCCACGACCGCCTTCTTGGGCCCAGGCCGCGCCGGGGCCGGCCTACTGTGATGGGCTCGCGCCGGGCTCGGCCGACCTCGCCCGCCGAGGCCGTGCCGGCCCCGGGCTCGGCCCGACCTCGGCGTGGCCGACCTCGACCCCGGCCCTGGGTCGGGGTCCTCGATAACCGCCTCCCCTTTTTTTTTATGAACTCTTCTACGCCGTCTGTCACGGCGTGGGTGCGCCGGCGTCGCGCCGGGCTCCGCCGACCTCGCCCGCCGAGGCCGTGCCGGCCCCGGGGTCGGCCCGACCTCGGCGTGGCCGGGCTCGACCTCGGCCCTGGGCTGGGGTCCTCGATAACCACATTTTTTTTTTGTTTTTATGTGTCGAACACGCCCCGTTCTTATACCCCTTCTCTTTTATCTCGTAGGTTTAGTTGGTGCATGTACACTTCTTCCAGTTCCTTGGACGATTTTTTGGACTCCGTAGACACCCACATCCTTCCCATGGATGACACTAGCGACCCCCCCCCCCCCCCTCATTTTCCCGCTCATTCCCCCTCTGGGGAGGTCACCGCGCCCTACGAGGGTCCGTTGGACGCCCATCCTCCCGTCATGGAGGACCCCTTCGCGGTCCCTTACGAGGATCCCGTCCAGTACACCCCTCTGGAGACACTCGTCGCGGCCTCGACTTTGGCTCGGACCTCCGCGCAGGAGTTAGAGGAGGCCAAGGGCTATATTGGGTCTACGGCCGAGGTGCGCCTGCCTTCTCCATCGGGGAACGTCACCGAGCCTCCGACACCCCTCTTCTTCGGGGTTCACGTGCAGTCCCTGTACCTCGGTTTTCGCTTCCCTATTCATCCCTTCATCGAATCCTTCCTTAACCATTACGGCATCGCACTCGGGCAGTTGGTTCCAAATACCCATTACTTGCTTCTTGCCTTCTTGCTTCGCTGCCACACCATTCGTGTCAAGCCCTACATGGATCTCTTCTAGAGTTTGTTTCAAGTCACCTCATCTTCCGGCCAGGCCAGTAAGGGGTTCGTGGGTATAGCGGCCCGGGCGCGTATGAAGGTGTTCCATGACTTCAATCAGACCAACAGAGATTGGAAACCACACTTTGTCTTCATCTCGGTCGGCGATCCTAGCTTGGAACAACAGGTTTGTGCACCACAAGACCCCGCTTCAGACGGCCTCCTTGGCCCGGGACATCCACGCCTTCCGGGGCAATCGGGGAGAGATTGTTATCGGCGAGATGATTACGGCGGAGAACATGCGTAGCCTGGGTTTTGTGTCGGACGGGCCGCTACCGCCACGTATTCGTCCGCGCCTTTTGCATACGTCCAAGTCGGATGCGCGTCCCTTGATCGAGTTGTCAGATGATGAGCCGCCAGAGCAGTCCTCGGGATCCTCGGACGAGGTTTTTGCCGAGCCCAGGTCCTCCGGGTCCGCTGACTGCCCTTCGCGTGCCTCTACTCGTGGTCTGTTCCCCCTCCCATCGCTAGACCATCGTTTATACATATGATTTATGGATTAACCCCTGTTCGTTTCATTTTGCAGCGAGGCCTCCCAGCATGTCCTCGTTCCGTGAGCGCCTCGAGCGCGTGGTGGTGCGTGGCCCCGTTGCGAAGAGACAGAGGTTACTGCGCAGCCTGGCGCGCCCCCGTCTTAGCCCGGTGCGCCCCCGTCAGGAGGGGTGCGGCCGCAGGTGAGTCGCCCCCCCGTACCGCCGGCCGTTCCGCCCCCGCTGCCGCCTGCCGAGCGCACGACGCGGAGCTTGCCCGCTATTATTCGAGAGGCCCTCCGGACCTTCGAGGTATGTACTCTTGTGCTTTCCTTCATTGCACTTACTCCTTGTTGTTGTCTTGTTATGATTGTGTTTCTTCCCAGGGTTGGGTCGTGTCCACCGTGGCCGTTGTTGAGGATGAGCAAGGTCTCGCTCGCGAGCTGGTTCGAGCCTTGGAGGCCGAGACCAGGCGGGCCGATGAGGCGGTCAAACATGATGCTGAGTCCCGGAAGGCCTTGGAGGCGGAGAGGAAGAGGCACAGAGAGGAGCTTGGACAGGTCATCCCTACCTACAGGAAGTCTGATGAGTTCGAGCGGGATGCCAAGGACTACGTTCGTGGGCGTAGTGGCGACATAGTCGCCTCGTGGCTAGCTAGTGACGCTGGGAAGGAGACGATTGCGGAGGAGAGTGCTATGGCCTTCCAGGTGGGCCGGTATGCTATGCAGCAGGAGATCTACACCGCCCTTCGTCAGAAGGGAGACGCCTTCGACCCGGTAGTCCTCGAGCTGCCGGCCGAGATGGAGAACCCCGATCCAGTAAACCCTGCGGCGGGCTTGTCACTATCATCCCTTGATCGCGCCGACGAGCCTGTAGAGCTGGTGGCCTCCTCGGGAGTTATTTCACCCACTTTGCTGAGCGTTCACGTCCCTGACTTGGATGAGAGGGCCGAGGGAGTGACCGTCGCCTTTGCGCCGTCGACTGAGCTGCCACTTGCCACCGCGCCGGGTTTGGATGAGCAGCCTTGATCGTGCTCGTTTTAGTTTATTTCCCTATTTTGTGTATCCGGGCATAGACTTTGGATGTGGATTCTTGCCCTCTTTTGCTGTTTATTTTCCTTGATGACTCCTCCTGTTTTATCTTGCTATGCTTCGAATGTTGGATCTTTATTATATGCTTGGGACTTATGCTTGACTATGTACTCCTGTTGTCGAGACCACGCTGGATCCTTTTCTCTTTTTTTTGTTTTGTTTTTTTTTTTTTTTTGTGCGCCCGGTCAGTGCCGGGGCTCTCAACCTCGGATTGTGCCGAGGTACTAGACCTCGGTGCTGGCCGAGGTATCGGACCTCGGTGACTGCCGAGGTGCATGCAGCACGGTGCACCCCGGCAGTATAGCCGAGGTGCATGCAGCACGGTGCACCCCGGCAGTGTGCCGTGGTGCATGGCTCGAGGGGGCCACGGCCACGGGCCGAGGTCTGACTGGACGTACCTCGGCCTGGGGCGGTGCCCTGTTACGCCCCGATGTAGCCGGGGTGTGATAGGCTTTTTTTTTTTTTTTTTTTTTTTTTTTTTTTTGGTTTTTGTTTTTTTTTTTGTTTTTTTTTTTGTTTTTTTTTTGTTTTTTTTTTTTTAGCCTAGTGTTAGCCTCCAAAACATAGTCTCACAAGACTACGCCATCGGGCTCCCCGTCGGGGTTAGTACGCGAGGTCGGACCTCGTGCCCCCTTAGGGTGCGTCAGCCGCTTGGGCTAAGTCCTTCCGAACTACGCCACTGGCTCTTCCGTCGGGGTTGGTACGCGAGGTCGGACCTCGTGCCCCCTTAGGGTGCGCCTAACCGCTCGGGCCTAGTCCTGTCGAACCAAGCCACCGGACTCCTCCGTCGGGGTTTGTACGCGAGGTTAGGCCTCGTGCCCCCTTAGGGTGCGCGTTAGCCACTCGGGCCAAGTCCTTTCGGACTGTGCCCCCGGGCTCTTCCGTCGGGGTTAGTACGCGAGGTCAGACCTCGTGCCCCCTTAGGGTGCGTCCTCCGTCGGGGTTAGTACGCGAGGTCGGACCTCGTGCCCCCTTAGGGTCCGCGGGGGAAGACATGAGTGGGCACTCGTTCCCCCTTGTTTCATGATTTTTTTTTTTGAGAAAAAATGGATGAGAACAAATTTTGTGATATTATTGCCATTCACTAAGACATTATTGGGGAGGGGAATGGTCTTCCTCCTAGAATAGCATTTCAAAGTCCACCTTTCACGTGGCGGGTCTACTAGTAGAACTTCAGCAGGTGTTCTGAGTTCCAGACCCTGGCTATCATCTTCCCTTTGGGGGTCTTGAGCTTGTAACTGCCCGGGCAGACCACCGCTGGGCGGACTACCGCTGCTACAATGTATGGGCCTTCCCAGTTGGCAGCAAATTTTCCTCCCGCCTGGGGCTGGCTTGCCTCCCTCCTCCTGAGCACGTAGTCTCCCGCTTGGAAGTAGCGGGGCCGGACCCGCTTGTCATGGTATGCCTTGGTTTGCCTTTGGTAGTTCTCAACTCGGATCGCAGCTGCTTCGCGCCTGTCATCGATCAGGTGGAGGTCAGTTCTATGGTGTTCCTCATTCGTGTCGGGGTCGTAGTCCTCCTCCCGGCGGGAAGGTATGACTACCTCTGCTGGGGCTCGAGCTTCGAACCCGTAGGCCAAGGAGAAAGGTGTCTCCCCAGTGGCCCTCCGGGGGGTGGTGCGGTAGGCCCAAAGAATGGCGTCGAGCTCCTCTACCCACGCCCCCCCTGCGGATTCCAATTTCTTTTTCAGGCCATCCACAATAGTGCGGTTGGCGTTCTCCACCTGCCCATTTTCTTGAGGGTAGCACACGGCCACCCGGCTGTGAGTAATGTGCCACTCTGCACAGAACCCTTGAATTCTTGCCCCTCGAATTGGCGTCCGTTGTCGGTGATGAGTTGCATCGGGACCCCAAAACGGCACAAAATGTTTTTGTACACAAAGTGCTTGCAACGGGCGCTTGTTATAGTTGCCAGTGGTTCCGCCTCCACCCACTTGGTAAAGTAGTCCACTGCCACTATGAGGTACTTCCTTTTCCCCGACCCCATGGGTAGAGCTCCCACTAGGTCCACTCCCCACCTGGAGAAGGGGATGACCGAGCTGATGGGGGTGAAGCTCGTGGCGGGTCGGCCGGGGGTGACCTGGAAATGCTTGCAGGTCTCACAACTCCTAGCGTAGTCGGCGCACTCCTTGGCCATTTTGGGCCAAAAGTACCCCTGTAAGATGGCTCTTCGGGACATGGCAAAGGCCCCTTGGTGGGCGGAGCAGGTCCCCTCGTGGATTTCTTCCATGACCGCCCTGGCTTCGTCCGGGTATAGGCAGCGCAACAAGGCGCCGTTATAGGACCTCTTGTAAAGTGTGTCCCCCATGATTACGTACGTAGGGGCTCGTCGTTTCACCAGCTTGGTATCGGCTTCGTCGGTAGGTAGTGCACCTGTTCTCTTGTATTCCTCTAGGTGGTCCAACCAGCAGGGGGGCCTGGTTTGCACGGGTAGGACTGGGTAGGCGTCCAGGCTCGACATCTTGAAATTCTCAATTCGGGCTATTTTTGAGATATGTTCCGGGGCCCCTTGGGCGAGTTTGGATAATATGTCAGCGTCTGTGTTCTGGTCTCGGGGCACCTGTAGGACCTCGTAATTGATCAGCTGCCCTAGAAGCTGGAGCACCACGTCCCGGTACCTCCTCATCCTTTCGTCACTTGCTTCAAATTCACCTGTAACCTGTCTCACCACGAGCCTGGAGTCACACCGGATTTTGAGCTTCTCCACCCTCATATTCAACGCGAGGCGGAGCCCCCCCAGGAGCGCCTCGTACTCGACTTCGTTGTTGGATAACTTGAATGCGAAGCGGAGGGCGTAGTAGGCCCGAAACCCCTCTGGGGTGATGAGGACGAATCCACCTCCGCAGCTTTTAGTGCTGGAGGACCCGTCCGTTGAGAGGGTCCACCACTCCTCATCTTCGTCCCGGACTCGCTCCGTGACCTCCCGGGCGGTACACTCGACTATGAAGTCAGCTAGTGCCTGCCCCTTGATGGCGGGCCTGGGCTTGAATTGGATGTCGAACTGGCTTAGCCGCATGGCCCACCTGACCAACCTGCTGGCCGACCCCGAGGCCCTCAGCACCGCGTCTAGTGGCTGGTTCGTGAGGACCTGTACGGGGTGGGCCTGGAAGTAGTGGCTCAGCTTCTTTGCCGTCACATCTACCGCGAAGATGGCTTTCTCCACGGGTGTGTACCTGATATCCGCCCCCCGTAGAGCTCGGCTCGTGTAGTATACGGGCCGTTGGACCCCCTCGTCATCCCGGACCAGCACGGAGCTGACCGCGGCCTGCGAGATGCCCAAGTACAGGTACAGGACCTCCCCCTTAACGGGTTTGGCCAGGGGGGAGCGACATCAGGTACGTCTTGAGGTCTTCGAACGCCTTCTGGCACTCTTCGGACTACTCGAAGCCCTTAGTCCTTTTGAGGACGCCAAAGAACGGCAATGATTTCTCGGCCGACCTCGAGAGGAAACGGCCCAGGTGTAACACCCCTGATTTTCAAGACATTTAAAACTTAATAATAAAGGTAACATCTCATTAAATCCCAAAGCGTAACATAAGTGTACGGGGTGCTATGCCACACCTGGGCTGGAGAACCCAGGTGCACAGGCTGTCTAACTACTATCCTCCGAATATAAATGCACAACATGGCACGCAGGCCGAAAGGGAAACTATAATACTTCTACGCTCCAGTTCTAGCGCGCTCCAGTGCTCTAATCCTCTGTGCCTGAAAGCCAAATATATCTGTTCAGCGAGAGATGCTGGTAACCCACTCCAACACGTTGAAATACAATACATATAGCAATATATATATATAGATATACGAAAACCATTTTGAGCATGAGAATATATCCTAGGGTTTGTGGGAAGACGTCGGTGAACTCGTTCACCACTGGGCATAAGAAGGCCTCGTTTCCTTGGCCCAGATACTTCTTAATTTTCATCATGTTTATCAGCTTGATCCCTGGATCCTGGCGGGCACTGCGGTACGACACCCTCTTACCGTTTGGCCCTCGTAGGACCACTTTCTGCTCTCCGCACAGGATTTGCGCTTGGAACTTCCCTAGCCAATCCATGCCCAAGATTACTTGCATCCCATCCAATTGAAACTGGATCAGGTCGCTGGGAAATTCCACTCCCTGAATGGTGATCATTACATGCTCGTACATGCGATCACATTTTATGACCTCGCCTGAGGCCACCTTGACTTGGAGTCGTACCTTGGTGGTGGCGTTAAGACCGAGCTGGGCGGCGAACTCGGTTGCTATGAATGAGTTGGTAGCCCCTGAGTCGAATAATATGACAGCTGGGGTGGCGTGCACTAGGAAGGTTCCGGAGACTACGTTGCTATCTCCGATCCTGGCCTTGCTTAGGGTGAGGATTTTTACCCGGGTAGTCGGCGTGATGGTTTGGTCAAGTGGGGCGGTTTTGGGGTTCTTAGCTTCCTTGGCGAGAATTGGACGACTTCCTTCGGGTTTCCTTTTATACCCCAGTTGCATCCCTGGAGGCGGGTTCGCTACCTGTTGTAGCTGACATGCCTTGGCATAGGCCTCTCCGAGGGTCTTCGGTTCTTGGGCGGCCAAGGACCTCTGATGTTCGGGCTTAAGGCCCGTTAGGAACTTCCTGACTTTGATCCCTTCGGTGGGTACTATCTCGGGGGCGAGGCGAGCCAGTTGGCAGAATCGTCGGTAGTATTCTGAGACCGGGGCCGTCCCCTGTCTTAGATTGAGGAATTCCTCGCACATGGCGGCCTTCAGGTGGTTGGGGTAGAACTGTTCTCGTAACCGCGTCTTTAAGTCCTCCCAGTTGAATTCGGGGTCTTGCTCGTACATAGGCCCCTCGCGGGCCCACCAGTCGTCGGCCTCGTGCTTGAAATAGAAGGAGGCTATCCTGACCCGGTGGCGTTCGGGGCATTGGGTCGTCCTGAACACCTTGTCGAATGTCTCAATCCATTCCTCGAGGGTTGTGGGGTCTTCGTCTCCCGAGAGGGTGGGTGGTCGATGTGCCGAGACTTGGTGGTGGATTTCCAAGTTCTCGTCTGTCGGCAGAGGTTGGGGTACGATAGTACTTAGTGTCTGGGCAATTTGGGTCAGGCGTTGTAGGGCCTGAGTCAAGATTTCTTTAGAGGGGTGTCCCGGTGCTCCTGACTGTTTCTTCTTAGGTGCCATTCCTGGCGATTAAAGGTCGATGTTATTTTGTGTTTTAATCTTGATATAATAAGTGGCGAAGGGATTCCTAATATTGGAGAGGGATAAAGTGAGGGGAGGTTATGTGTAGGTTTCGCAATCTCACCGCGCGTCCTAAGATTCCTGAGTCCTATGTTCCTAAATACCTAGAGTTCAAGCTTAATACCTAAAGTCCGGTCTTAAGAGTCTTTTCTTAGGGTCAAACTTAGGCTCTGATACCAACTGTAACACCCCTGATTTTCAAGACATTTAAAACTTAATAATAAAGGTAACATCTCATTAAATCCCAAAGCGTAACATAAGTGTACGGGGTGCTATGCCACACCTGGGCTGGAGAACCCAGGTGCACAGGCTGTCTAACTACTATCCTCCGAATATAAATGCACAACATGGCACGCAGGCCGAAAGGGAAACTATACTACTTCTACGCTCTAGTTCTAGCGCGCTCCAGTGCTCTAATCCTCAGTGCCTGAAAGCCAAATATATCTGTTCAGCGAGAGATGCTGGTAACCCACTCCAACGCGTTGAAATACAATACATATAGCAATATATATATAGATATACGAAAACCATTTTGAGCATGAGAATATATCCTACGAACTCTAGCCTTAAAACCGGGAATGACTCGACAGATAAGGTCAGACACAAGCAACAGTTATAACGAGCATATGCAGTTCACAACAGATAAGGCAGATAAGGCAGAGCATAAACAATGATCATAACCCAACATGAACAATCCCCAATATGAATCCCATAGTCACATCCCCCAAGACGCTCATAATCACAACTCGTCCACGTCACAACACATAACGCACGTTGTTGGCGCCACAGGACCACTCGCATGCCCATACATGCGGGCCAGCGCATATAGCTCTGACACGGCCCCACAGCACCATGCCCCGTATCGCAACACGGGGAGGTCGATCGCAACCGACCGATGAACCGCAGCTCATCATAATGTTTGAACGCAACCAAACAGTGGACCGCAGCCCAAGAGAGTGTGTCATCTGACTGTAGCCAGGAATTCCCATCTGACTACAGCCAGCCTCTGAACCGCAGCTCAGGAAAGATGTCACCTGATTGCAGCCAGGAATTCCCATCTGACTACAACCAGCTTCTGGACCGCAGCCCAGGATACCGTCATCCGACTACAGCCAGGAATTCCCATCTGACTATAGCCGGCTTCTGAACCGCAGCTCAGGATAACCAATCCGATCGCAACCGAATCGGGGCAACACGCACACATAACACATAGCAAGCACATGCAACCCACATTACACATTGGGAAGGGGGATAAAGCGTATAACAACCTTATGCGTGATCCATCACGAGCTAAGAATAGTCCTAAGGGGTTCATACTTCTTCCACTTAGGTCAACGGGATACCAATTCAACTAGCATGCAATATAATAGACTCATAAACCTACGAACGGTACCCGAAATATCAAACTAGACATAGGCACGACAAACGGGGTCCGTTGGGACACCACGGGGATCGGGGAAACATCAAACGGGGAAGCCGGGGTCCCGAGGGGGGAAAACTTCCAGCGGGTAGCCGGTGGGTGGGGGTCCACCCGCCGGCTGCCCGCTGCCGGAGCTGCCCGAATTGCCGCGGATAGGTGGTGGGTCCCCTACCCCCCACTGACTCTTTTCACCACTTTTCGTCCCGGGAACCATTGTGGAACCCGAAACCATGCTTAGACACTTTTCAACGTAATTAACGACAACACATAGACAATTAACGGATCAAATACGATAAACGAACGGCACATAACCTATCATGCTTTTCTAATCATAATCAACACCCAAACATGCGATTTCCCCACCCGATAATCCAATAATAATATCATACGATACAACCTAGGGTTCTAATCACTTTTATATCAACAAGAATACAATTCGTCTTCTAATTGCAAGATTCGGTAGGAACAACACATAATCATCAAGGATACCAACTAATCATCAAAAACATCATAATCATCAAGAACAACACATAATCATCAAAACCCCAATTAATCATCAAGAACATCATAATTATCAAGAAATCCCCAATATCAAGATTATCAAGATTCCTCATGGAATCATTATATCGACATCAATAATAAATATCATCAATCGCCATTTACAACAATATGGGGGAAACCCTAAGGGGAAATCATAGCTATGAAAATAGGTTTTGTTGAGACATGGGTTACCTCTTAGCCTTAATTAATTCCTTGGCTATGAAGGATCTTTCTTTAAGCTTTCTTGCTTTCTTGATTTCTTCTAAGGGAATTCTTGGAGCTCTCCTGGGGTGATGGGGCGTCTAGGCGTGTGGGAGGGGGTTCTAGGTGCTCCCTAAGTTCCCTATTTATAGATCCAAGGGTTTATTTAGAGTTTATTCCTATTGGGTTTAGGGGTTGGGTTTATATAATTGGGCCCGTGGGCTATGGTGGCCTTTTTCCCTAATTAACCATTATAATTTATTCTTTCTCCTGGGTTATTAATTAATTAATTAATTAATCAGTTGGTTTTAGGATCCGTAACACGGGGTGTTACACTCTCCCCCCCCCCCCCCTTAACAGGAAGCTTCGTCCCCGAAGCTTGGCCCTGGTGACAAAAAGAAAGAAAAGTTTTCCCTTAGTTACCTGGAGTGAACAGCTCGGGGTACCGCTCCTTCATTGTGTCCTTAAGTTCCCATGTGGCTTCCTCGGTCCCGTGGTTGGTCCAGAGAACCTTCACCATTTCCACGACTCGGTTCCAGGTATTTCTTGTTTTGGTGTCCAGGATTCTTACGGGTTTCTCTTCGTATACTAGTGACTCGTCGAGGTCCACGGTCTCGTGTTGGAGTACGTGGCTCGGATCGTGTATGTA